CCGCAGGGGCCCCACCTGTTCGTGCTCGGCCAGCGAAGGCCACGGGCGATTATTGGGCATTTTAAGGAGCGTTTGTGCCGAATGTGAATGGTGGGAGAAGGCGAGCCCGCCTGTTGTTCTTGCCCAGCTTGGCGTTGCCTTACAGCAGGCGCTAGAGGGGCTTCGCAGATACCAGCCTATTGAGGGTACCCGCAGTTGCGAGAAGAGCGATGTCACTGCAAGGTTAGGGGATAAAGCGAATCTTACCCGTGGAGAAAAAAGCCCCGAAGTTATTATTGGAAGCATCGGGACATCTTTTGTCTGGTTATTCTGTGCCAGAACTGCAACATCCCCTGACTCTGAAATAAATAGAGCATGAAAAAGTTGAGGTGCCGGTAGGAAGAACAATCTCGCCAAACAAGAACGTATGAAAGAGGAAGTGCAACTTTCTCCCGTTTCACATGGCATTTTTTTTTTTAAAACGTACAGAAGGGGAAGGTAAGAGAAAGAGTTGAAAAAGAAGAAAAAAATTTACAGTACTTTTATAAAAAGAAATAAAGGAGAGAGAGAACCTAAGAAATTAATGCAGCTACACCAGCACTTAGTGGAGCTCACTGGCAGTGAGACGGGCACAGGAACTGAGTGGGGCAAAAAGGGAGGTTTCTCTGCAGGCAAGAGTGTTTCTCCCTTTTTCCAACAGGAGCTTGGCATTAAAGGTATTCCAGGGGAATGTGGTGGGCTGACACCGCCCCCACACTACCACAGCTGCAACCTCCTCCAAGTAAGAGGATGAGCATCTCTAGCTCTGTCCAACTGTGACATCATTTATTAAAATAAGAAATCAAGACCTGCTTTGTATACATATGTTAGAAATTAAGTTCTGGCTGACTAGCGAAATGTTTGTTGGCATCGGCAAATGCCTGCTGTGGGAAATTCCCTGAAGAGTCCCATAAAGATCAGACAATTATTGCTCTCTGTTTAATTCAAGTGACTTACTATACCCATAGCTTCTAACTTGGGCGGGGAACAATAAAACAAATATGGCCACAGGATTATGCACGATTAAGAACTACATTAAGGTGAGCTTGTCAAGACAGACCTCTACCTGGCACAAAAGTGATGACTCCTACACAGTATAAAAATACAACAGAAATACAAGACCACATGCAAAAGCCACCGAAAGTCACTGCCAGAGACAGAACAGAGCAGAGCTGCCTCCCTGAAGTGTTTAGGTATGCTTAGTCAGGAGATTTACTTTAGGGCTGATTGCAGATTTACTAAAATAAGTATTAGAGCCGAAATGTTCCACACTGGGCATCCGCTTAAACTTTTGAAACCTCATCTATGAAACCATTTCAAAGGACACAGAAGAATAAAAGAAAGCATTTTCTTCAAAGAAAAGTAATACAATTCAGACTGACTCTTCCCTAAATTTTCCTTATTGCACCTGGGGCAATATCAAGGTGGGCAACTGCAGACACACAGCTCCCATTCAAAAACCTTTCCAGTGTCTTCCTTCCTTTTCCCACAGCAGTCTGGAGGAAGGAGGGCACAATATATGGCTAGGCATGGTGGTGAAAGGCAATTTTAAAGTAATTCTTAGGAGAGTGCTGCGCACTTATCTTTCTTAAAGCTCCATGGGATGAGAGTTAAATCACCTGGACTTTACAGATAGGTTAAATTGGGTTTTTCTATAACATCCAGCAGGTATACCTCCCTTGGGAAATTCCTGTGTAGATTTGCCCCTCCAGAGTAATCAAACATGCCAAATTCTTTCCAGCAAAACCTTTGCACAGCTCCTTGCTATCGGCACATTTCCTGTTTACACATTTTTACTGAGTGCACAAAACGGTGGGCAGCATGGTCAGCTGCTTGTCGTCCTTTAACCAGATAAAACTGTGACTCCTTGAGTTTCAGCGAAACAGTGGGATGCAGGGCTTTGACCTGGATTTAGGTCTGTGCAGCCACTCTCCTTCCCAGGGATCCAGACATCCTCTGGGACCTATTTCTCCAGTCAGTCTACATGGTTTGTTTTTCACATGAAAGACAGTCACAACACCAGCTTCATGCCTTCTGCTCCGATTCCAATATTAGTGCATTTTACTGCTATTTGTGGCCTTGGCCACCCACCCACAGAGTTATGTCGTTTGAACAGAAATTTTGCAGCTGTCAAAAATGCAAATGCTTAATGGGACATTACATAGTAGCAGTACCTAATTTACCTACTTCTGCTACTATATTGAAACAATCACTATTAGGGTTCTTGCTTATGTAAACAACAGAGATGCTAAAGTCTATCATATAACACTCTTGTTTGGTTTTTTTTGTTTTAGCTATGGATTTCTGTTATTGCTCCTTCATATCCTGAGAGCTGGTAAGTTCAGAACACTTCAGCTGAAAATTATGCTGCCCTCCCTTAATGTGTTTGGCCAAATACACAGAGTATTTGTAATATGTACGATATAAACATCTGTGTGTTTTCAGCAAGACACTTAAGAATTTCTCAGTGTGAAATGTTCCTGTGACACACAACAGGGAAA